TTGTAGGTTAAAGTACATACATACACCCCAGAACAAGAACCTCACAAAGCATACATGCTTCTCATCTGACTGCTGATCAGAAAAGCATAATAGCCAGTTATATTAATGTTCATTTGTATGGCTTCATAATACGAATCTAATTCTGAACAATCTTTGAAATAAATTGAACTATTCGAGGTCAGTGATGATGAATACATTGTTTCTATAACCACTAAATTATCTATTGAATGAAAAAATTAATGAGTATTTGTATTTACAATAAAGAAAAGTATTCCTAGTTTGCTTTTCACTCTGTTTACTAATGAGAGTTGAATGGTTTGTTCTAGAGCAACGCTTTTGATAGAAACATGAAATAAAATATCCGTTTAGCGTTCTAAATTAGGCATGGAACCGAATCCGAACTTAGTTCGGGTTCGATACATGCTTGAACAAAATACATAGACATTCTAACTTCCATCTGTATCATTCAACTAGCATGACGATAATGTTATCGATTGACTTTTGTAGAGAGTTATGAATAAGCAAGATTTTTATTTTATAATAATAATATATTAAGAAGAAACTTGAAATTTGAATTTAACTATTCAATCATTCTAAACTTACGACATGATTCTTCGATGTATTGAAATTTTTGAATTCGAAAATTATCATTATCAGCAACATATATATTTCCAGAACGATCAAAACTCAAACTAAATGGCAAAGTCAATTGATTGGATTGTGAACCCCGTCCATAACATCCAACTAAACATTGAAAGCCATTCGAGCTTGAACCAACGATGCGATTGTTGAGTAGATCCACAATGAATAAGTACTTCTCCGCATCTAATATAATTCCACTTGGACAATGAAGTGTAATTGTGGGATTTCGTGATCCACTTCCAGCTACTGTGATACCACTTGATTCCCCTGACTGAAACAATTGAACCCGATCATTATCACAATCTGTTACATATAAATCTAAGTTCACATCGACAAAGATTCCAACAGGACCATTGAGTTCATTCAAGCCATATCCTTTAATACCTGTTCCAGCAGCAACGCGGTTTGACGTCATCAGAGGACCATTTAATGATCTCTTCACTACTTGTTGTTGAGCAAAAATCGAACAGTAAAGATTATTATTGATATCAACGAATAATCCAAAACATGAGGAGTGAACATTCATCACTGTGGCAAATGTATTTGTTTCTACGATCCATTTCAGTACTCGACCTTTCTCCCGTCCATCATCAATATAAATATCACCATTTGGCGTCACGAACAGAGACAAGGGTTCCGTAAAATCACCATAGATGTTCTTTGTTGGATTGACACTCTGTTCATCCCACACTACAATTGTCCTATTTTCTTTATTAGCAACATAGATTGTGTTATTTGTGTTAACAAAAATAGCGAAAGGATACCATCCAACAATTGATTGATTAGCCAAAGTGATTCCTTTGGTATTCCACATAGCTGTTGGGCAAAACTTTGGTTGATTGTAAGAAAGAGCTAAACACAAACAAAGAGAAAAACTGTAAGGAAATGAAATTATTAATTTTAAAAGAATTTTTATGAATTGTTGTTCTATTTTCTCTGATGAAACATGAATATAAACTCAGAGGGGAATGAGTTTATCAAAAAAGATCAATGTCTTCTATTGAATTTTTTGTTATGAAAGAAAAAGAAATATGTCCAATTTTTATTGAAAAAATAAAAATAATCAAATGATCTTCTTATTAATATTAAAGAGATTGTGAATCAACTTTGGATATATGATCCTAATCAATAATGTCGTTTGTACAATGACTGATATTCAGTATATGATAAATAAAAGTATTTACCTGATATTTCATTATTGAGAATAAGAAGAAAATTAATGATAAATACATCGTTATTCCACATCATTCAACGAGATCCTTTTTTGATAAAATAGTCAACTGATAAAATAATCTTTATCTTCTTTTTTCTAAATGAAAACAAAATGATAGTCTGTATGGAGATTCTCTCATTTATTTCTTCTAGAATAGCACTAAGAAAAATAGTGTTCTAGAGAAGATTTAATTGTAGAGAAGAGAAGGAATTAATTTCTTAATGTGATATTTTTCATTGAATTTCATTTTCTTTGGATGAACAGAATAGAATTTAGTTTCACAACGATCGTTTTTTTTTGATTTTATAGAAAAATCTTTAATTTAAGTACAGAAAAACGTGATGAAGAGAAAGGAGAGAATTGATAAAAATCTGCATTAATCATCGGACGTGTTTTAACTAAAAATAAAATATCAGCTGTCATCGTCGATAAATAATTGACGCCGATGAACAAATCATGATTAGTTTAATGTTCTTTTTTTTATTTGAGTCTGCTAAATAATCTGTTTTGTCAGGACTCATTTTAAATCACGTTCTTTATTTCTGCACGCAATATTTTTACAAATGAACTTGTTAGACATATACAAAGTAGAAATCTCCATCACAACATGGTAGATTTTGTCTGAGAGAAAGCATAGAGTTGCATGTATTCAACTTTTAAATTGAATATTTGCAAGGACAAAACTCTAATAAATGGACGAATCTTATCAGTTAGTAGCACTAGTTCTTATTCAAACATACTTACAGTCGTGAAACGCAGATCAATAATTTAATATTCTTTAAAATCTGACAGAAATAAAATATTTAACATTTAGCCAATTATTGTGAATAGATATTGATATAAGATTCTCTGATATTTATAATATAAAAATATTAACTTCTCTTCTTTCAGGGTTTAATTTCTGTATAAAATCTTGAGAGATACAAAATAATCCCATTGATTATAATTGGTTATATTATCAAGCAGAAATAGTACTGAAATATCAACAGTACAAGAAAATTGTCAACAAGATTTGAGATTAGCCGATGAATGTCATGAATAAGAAGGAACAACTTTGATTTGTTATTTTGATTCATCAGGTAAATTATTAGAAAAGAATATTGCACAATTTAAGATATTAACATCTTTGACACAATTGAAATCAAAACGAAAACGTTATCTTATTCATGCATAAGAATCCAATTAGAAATTTTGCTACCTAACAAGTCGCTTCACAACAATGAAAGTGATTGTAGTACTTCATATACACACACACTTTCATCTCATCCTCTGCCATATCTTGACACATGTAATGAATAATGAAATAGATTAGATAATGGATATTTTATTTTCGAAAAAAAAAGTTAAAAAGAACAATAAAGAAAGAGAAACTAAAGAAGGAAATCACAATACAGATGATAATCATGTATAGATATTTTCTGATTAATTGAAGAGATGAAGAGAAAGAAGGAAAGAAAGAAAATTAAAATTTTAATGTTTATTTTTTTTCAATTATACTTTTGAATGATCTTATGCTGGACACCAAGTTGATCTCCAAGGATTTGTAAAACCATTTAA